TTTATATATTCTGTTATAGCATTAGAGGAGTCAAACAAGATGAAAACAACAAATAAGCATTGGCACTTTTTTTATTATAGATTGAGATAATGCATTATAGATTGTACTTAAGCTCACAAAAGAGTATTAAAAAAGGTGTTTTATTGTGTTAAATGGTCATCCCTTTAGTGTACAAGATAATAAACAGGATTTTAGTACACTGATAATATACTCTTACAAGCAAATTCAGAATGTGTTTCAGGGATAGTAATATTATTGTATTACTAAAGTATGAAATAGGTGTATCCATTGTAACTCAATGAAATATACACTAATGAGCCAAAGCATGTTGTCAATTTTTTGACGATGACGTGCACTTCGTCCTTTGCATGCCGCCAAAACAGTGCCGACCCACTGAGGAATGGACTATTTCCAGACCCCTGAAGGTGTTTGTGGTATCTGGCACCAAGACGTTAGCAGATCCATTAAGCCCTTTAAGTTGCCATGTTGAGCCTCCTTGGATCAGACATGTTGGTCCAGCCCATCCCAAAGATGCTCCATCAGATTGAGATCTGGGGAATTTGGAGGGCAACACCTTGAAATATTCACCATGTACCTCAAACCATTCCTATATGTGCAGTGCTGAATGAGGCTACTGCCATCACGGAATACCATCGCCATGAAGGGGTGTACCTGGTCTGCCACAATGTAGGTGGCATGTATCAAATTGACATCCACATGAATGCCTGGACTGGGGTTTTTTAACAGAACATCACCTAGTGGATCACGCTCCCACCACCAGCTTGTCATGTTCCTACAGTGCATCCTGGTGTCGTCACTTCCCCAGGTAAAACACAGAACACAGAAGTACACGGCAGTCCACGTAATGACGAAGAAATCTGCAGTAATTGGACCTGGCAACAATCGTCCACTGCTCCAAGGTCTAGTTCTGATGCTAGACAGAAGTATTCATGGGCACTCTGACCGGTCTGCGGCTACACGGCACTGTGTGTTCTGACACATTTACATTTTGAGTGGCATGTGTCACAGTCAGGATTTCTGTTGACTTGTACTAGACTGGATTACATATGTTGCCCTCGTGCATCAATGAGCCTGTCGCCGTTGTGTGGTTCGTCCCCTCAGACCACTGACGGTAAGTACTCACCACAGCTGACCGGGAACACCCCATAAGCGCCCCACAAGCCTTGCAGTTTCAGAGATACTCTGACATAGTCGTCTGGCCATAACAATTTGGCCCTTGTCAAAGTTTCTCCGGTCAGATTTTCTCCTTAACATCTAATCTACCCAAACCATGACATGTTCCCAACGCTACTTGATCATCTGTGGACATAATGTTTTGGCTCATCTGGGTACATAATGTACTAAAGTACGACATGTTCGGTTAAAGATATGAAACGCTGTAAATATACTGCTTTTTTTACTTGAATAGTTTTTTTTCTCAATGGTCTCCCCAAACCCCATTATTAAAACAAACAACCCCCCACACGAGGTTGTGGTCCATATTTTGGGAAATGCTGATCTAATCTGCTGACCAGGAAATGATGACGTTGCGCAATTACGCAAAAAATACAACAGATATGATACAAGTAGGAAAGCAGCTGCTTGGCTGAATCATATCATGGACGTTTGGCAATACAGTGATTTAAAGTGAGTGGAACAAGAAAAACATCTCAAAAGGCATAGTAGTTAGCGAGTACAAACAACATGAACTGGGGGTTGATGGAAGCTGCTACTGACAGTTCTGTTGTTGTTTCCAGTTAATGTTCTGGTATGTGATGTTATCATATCGCATACTAAAATGACGCCAGCAGCAGCTAAAGGCTCCTGGCTCAAATAGGAGAATGAGTAACATGCTGTCAAAGAAAATGAGGGAAGCTGGACATTTAAATTGCTGTCAATACCTGAAAACATCAAGTAGGTTTTCGAGTGGATGGGTGTGTTTGTGGAGTGATGGCAACTAAAATGGAACATCCCATGAGGTTTAGTCTGGGACAATGGTTTTTCCCCCTGAAGATTAACTAACTAGCCTTCAGAAATATATGGCTTGAAATCAAAACCTGAGCGATCACGCCTGGCTTTCTGTGACATCTCGTGTACACACACACAGCAGGGGGTGTTTTATTACTCAGAGCTCACCTGAGTAGAGGCGAGATGATGATTCACACAGCTAGCTAACAACCCAGCAGCCAACAGTGTCTCATGCAAAAAAAAAACACAAATTGAAAGGAACAGGATTTTGGCATTTGTCTCCCCAAATGTTTTACTTATTTTTTTTGTTCTTACACCTGGCTGAATAAAACAGACCAGATCTCAAACTTCCCGAAGCAAACCAAAGGTCATTTCGACTTGATAGGGCTCATTGACTGTCTAAACTAGCAGATGGGCTCAACAGTCCATGATAGACAAACACAGTAGCATCTTCTAAATGGCTTTTTGTTCATTCCAGAATCGACCTATCGCCATCAAGCAACCATAGACGATGAGGTTGTGGCCATGGAGATTCTTGACACAGCTGGGCAGGTATGAGCACATGTTCATATTACAGTACGACTGGTTGAATCTAAAGCAATAAACATCTCTCGTTTTTTAACAGTAACCTTTGATATTGGTGCAGGGAAATGTTAGTCTGTGGTGACAGTGGTAATTTAATAATAAACAGTAATCAATTCAAAATCCCAATTCAACCCAACTGCATAGCACAGACACCGAAGACTTAACCGGGAGCGCGAGCAGTGCTGACTAGAAACAAATAACTAGTTAGCTTTGCTCTGTGCTCATCTAATCAGCCATTGGGTACTCATTACACTAGTCACCTGGGAGAGAGCTGAGCAGTGGAGGCTTTCCATCGGAAGATAAATGTGCCACTTAATCTACTAGTCTGGGAAGAGGTTTGCCTTCAGCTGATTTCCCCTGTGACAAGTCTAGCCATGTCATCCTGCTCTCATTACATTGTATTCTATTTTCGAGAGATCACAGAGTATAAGGCTTTAGGTGAGGGCCCAACAGTGTTCCCAGAGCTGTCTCTCTGTCACAGGGCCAATGTAGTGATGAGGTTCCATTGTGAGCACTTCAAAGCCACTAAAAACTAGTAAGTACGGCTGATTGGATTAACACAGGAAGCTGTTCATGCCTCAAACACATGTTAGTACTCCATGAGTCAGATGGGTTCAAAAGTCGGTCAACATTTGAAACAACGTATTTTTGCCGATAAATCTTAAGAGTGTCTGAGTAACCCTTCAGCAGGTTTAAGACTCATTAGCAGTACTTTTTGTCACAACAGAACTAGCTGTTCTGCCTTAAATCACAAGCAGCTGCTAAAATGTTCCCAGTTCAGAAAATGTAGTGACAGTTGAAATTCCGTAGGCAAAATCAAGTATTTGAACACATTACAAACATTTGCAGTCTAATTCTCTTTACAAGTGTCTATCATCAATAATTTTTAAGTAGAAAATTATGCAATTTTGTTTTAAATAACAATGTGGTCTAATTCTTAACGTTCAAGGCCTTGCTAAGAAATTCCTTTTGTCTTGTTCTTATTACCACAGGAGGACCCGCTGCAGAAAGAGAGCCACATGCGTTGGGGAGAAGGCTTCGTCATTGTCTATGACATAACAGACCGAGGCAGTTTCGAGGAGGTGGGTCCTTTACGGGGCCTACTAGAGGAGGTGAAGAAACCCAAGAACGTCCCATTGGTGCTGGTAGGGAACAAAGCCGACCTGAACCACGCCCGGCAAGTGGGCACGGAAGAAGGAGAACGTCTGGCCGCGGAGATGGCGTGCGCCTTCTACGAATGCTCGGCTTGTGCCGACGAGGGCGGCACCGTGTCGGAGGCGTTCCACGAGCTGTGTCGCGAGGTGAGGCGTCGCAAAGCGGTCCAGGGCAAGACCAGACGCCGAAGCTCCACCACCCACGTTAAACAGGCCATAAACAAGATGCTGACCAAGATCAGCAGCTAGGAGTAGACGGAGCACGAACAACAGCGATAATGAACTGAAGACTGACTACAGAGAGCGGTCAATAATTTAGATGCGTGGAAATCGACTATTCATTCATCCAGGCTGCTAAGGATCGGGGCGATCGAATGGTGTAAAAGGAAACATCTTCACACTTAGTGTCAATGCACACATCTCATTAAAGGTGTGCCTGAATTCAGTGTTCATTAAATGGTGTTTGCTGAAATGACTTGCTCTTTGGCCGCGCTAGGGTTACGAGCACAAAGTGGAACATGTAAATCACATGGTGAGAACTACTTTGTCTTTAAGGGGGTAAAATCATTTGTTTCTTTTTAGCCAACGGATCATTTATGCTGCCAGGGAAGAGGGTAGTAGAGTCTGTGACTCAAAAGTATCGGACAGAATTCGACAATTTGAAATTGACTCTTTGAGCATCACAGTTAATTGCACGGCACTGCGCCACATATTTTAAACACTATCTACAAAATAATGTACAACACAAACCCAACCGTTGTACATCAGAATTGATGAAAAATCTGTCGTGTCCACTCCCTGTAGCTAGTTTGTGTAATACCATTTTTGATTTGCTTTAGTCCCTTTGGTGTAGATTTGTTCTTAAAACTGCGCTGGAAGAGGTATCATGGTCTTAGATCTATGACGAGTGTACAGAGCTTAGTTAGCCTTGGGTTCGTGTTGACCTTAGAGATATCATACGAGCTGTGTTGTTTGTTGGCAAGTAAACCATTGGTCACTAACCCCCCTACATGACAATAGCCACAATATAGTGATATCAAACAAACTCGTTTGATATCATAATAGCCTATATTACCTAGCACAAATAGGACTTCTTGTATTTGTCAAGAACATTGCTGTTGAGATACTGAAATGCCTCAAGGAACCTAACAAAAATGTAAAACTAGATGCTGAACGGAGGGGTCTAGTGTATATATTTTGTGAATCAATGTTTATACTGTTCAATGTTTACAACCTTTGAGAACAATAGATGCCATTTGTCATTCCAGGTTGTGTTTGAGAGAGAGTCTTCATGGAGTTGGTAGCTCAGTGGTAGAGTGCATGCTTATTGGGTATGATCTCCTGGGTGCAATCCCCAGCTTCTCCCCAGGTCGCTGATGAGAATTTGCTTGATCGGCCTACCTGGTTAAATAAAGGTAAAATAAAAATATATATGTCTCTCTGAAATGTACCTTTAATTGTAAACTATGTATAATACTGCCTTAAACATTAGCCTCAAAGGAGTGTATAGTATATAACCCAAACTTTTTGTCCGTAATTTAACTAAATGCTCTTTACTTTTTTGCAATTTACCCAACCTGTCTCTGAGTTTAAAGCACGGGACTCAAACCGACACATTCTCTGTGCAATTGTAATTAAACAATAGATATATGCTGCAATGACTTTGAAAATGTATCTGTGTTATCAACAATAAAAACTACCATTGTTAAGTTGTTTTGGTCTAATTAATAAAATATTTTCCTAGCCCCTGCTAACGCTAACGAGCAACTAATTACAAGCTTCAGTTTAGACTGACATTAATCTGCTGTCTTTACTAGGAACAATTCTCTGACCACTAAGAACTGGAGGTCTCATCTCATCTTCAACCGCTTATCCGGGGTCGGGTCACGGGGGTAGCAGCTCTAGCAGGGGACCCCAAACTTCCCTTTCCCGGGCAACATTAGCCAGCTCTGACTGGGGAATCCCGAGGCGTTTCCAGGCCAGTGTGGAGATATAATCTCTCCACCTAGTCCTGGGTCTTCCCCGAGGTCTCCTCCCAGCTGGACGTGCCTGGAACACCTCTCTAGGGAGGCGCCCAGGTGGCATTCGTACAAGATGCCCGAACCACCTCAACTGGCTCCTTTCTACGCAAAGGAGCAGCGGCTCTACTCCGAGTTCCTCTCGGATGACTGAGCTTCTCACCCTATCCCTAAGGGAGAGGCCAGCCACCTTTCTGAGAACCCATTTCGGCCGCTTGTACCGCAATCTCGTTCTTTCGGTCATGACCCAGCTTTCATGACCATAGGTGAGGGTAGGAACAAAGATTGACCGGTAGATCGAGAGCTTTGCCTTTCGGCTCAGCTCTCTTTTCATCACAACGGTGCGGTGAAGCGAATGCAACACCGCCCCCGCTGCTCCGATCCTCCGACCAATCTCCCGCTCCATTGTTCCCTCACTCGCGAACAAGACCCCGAGGTACTTGAACTCCTTCACTTGGAGTAAGGACTCATTCCCTACCCGGAGTAGGCACTCCACCGGTTTCCTGCTGAGAGTCATGGCCTCAGATTTAGAGGTGCTAACCCTCATCCCAGCCGCTTCACACTCGGCTGCGAACCGATCCAGTGAGTGCTGAAGGTCACCGACGATGAGGCCATCAGGACCACATCATCCGCAAAAAGCAGTGATGTGACCATCAGCCCACCGAACGGGAACCCCTCCCCCCCATGACTACGCCTTGATATCCTGTTCATGAATATTACAAACAGGATTGGTGACAAAGCGCAGCCCTGGCGGAGGCCAACCCCCACCGGGAACGAATCCGACTTACTGCTAGAACTGGAGGTGCCTAGAAGAAATGTCACATTTGCATAACAATTGCTAGTCATGATAAAAGTCGCCCTGCAGGAATCCAACCAGGGGAGCCACTCTGTTCTCCACAGCCACGAAGCTCAAGCGTTTCCCCATGAAGCACTATCCAAGCGAATGAAATAGCTTGTGCAGATGAACACAGATACAATCTAAACCCTACAGTTGTCATAGGCACAGTGAGACAAAACAAAATCCTAGTGAGATAAACGTGAATCTTGGAAAGATTGAGGAGGGGCCTAATTACAATGTATTGCGTCTTTTAAAATAAGTACACTGGAGGACTACAGATCTCTCAACTAATTTAGAGTCCCTGAATAGATGCACACAGCTGGAGACTGTTAACTCAGCATAATGTGACTGCTCCTTTAGGCCTGTTGACATATGTGTAGCTTTAATATGCACATTTGTCTATCGAATGACTGCTGGGATACAAAAGACCTATAGATAGCCATGCATGCTATGTATTTATAGTCTTATGCCAAGCAACTTTCAGTGTAGAGTGCATCAGCTTTTGTGCTTGACACCCCTATGTGAACAGAAGCCTCAAACGTGGTATTAAGCATCTTTCTCTACAACTGAGCTTTGTTGTTCCAATTGTGATGGCCTTAGCTGATGTCGAATGACCGCACTGTTTATTTTTGGACACTGTGAGAAAATTTGAGACGAATGTGAACATATCCCGCTGGTCTAGTGACAAGCCTGGCTAGGGCTGTGGAACTTAAGACACGCAGTTCCGAGGCAATGGTAATAGCCCAGTTAAAAGTACAGCCTGGAACTATGTTTTATTTATTTTTTTAAACCACCCATTTTGGGCTGAATGTGTAGTGTGTTTTTGTGTACACAGTCTAAGTATAATTACTATTATAACCTTAGCTAGCCACAGAATTCCAAGTTTGAAAGCAAGCCGTTTTGATTACATTGATCCCTCCTGGCGCAGACATGACGTAGTACACAACCTGCTGCCGCGAAGTACACAAACCTGCTGCCGCGATTCAGCACTAGTAGTCTTTTGTCAACACTCACACAGCATGTATCCTGCTGTCTGCCCTAGGTCCATGCCACCATACAGAGCCAGCCCAGCCACAAGGCGAACTTTGCAATTGCAATGGGCCTCGCAGGCCAGCAGAGGGCCCCCTCGAGTCACAAAAAAAATCACACATCAATAGTAACATTACATTTTAAAAAATGGTCAAAGGGGCCTCCAACCAAATTTTGCATAGGGCCCCCAAAGGTCTAGGGCCGGCTCTGCCACCATATATCCAGCTGCAGGCAGCATCCCAAAAGATTCATCCTAGTCTGGGATGTGTGTGTGTGTGTGTGTGTGTGTTTGTTTCCGTTACATCTGACATAATGACAGTGCAGATTTAATAGGGACACATCAGGATTTAGTTTCATGTTTCTGCTATTTTGCCATGTGCACAAATCAATTGCCTATTTGTAACAAAATGAATGTTCCATGTTTCAATCAGTTGTAATAACCCAGCCATGGTTAAATATCCAGTATGATCATTTACTGATCGCTTACATTTTAATACAATCCAGGACAGACTACATCCATTCTGTTAAGGACACAGAACCAAATTGTGCATCTGAAGACTGAGGAGCATCTAAGACTTTAATCATATTGTAATCTTAAACGATGACTAGTCTATTACTGAGCTCAACTTTATCAACAGGTAATGCTATACATTTTCTCTTAGGTCAGGCCCAGTGATCTTGTAAAAGCAACTTGGACAAAACTCTCCTTTTTCATACCTCTGGGCAATTCAGAAAGACATCTTGTTTAAATACGTAGTCATGGGGAAAAAAGCTTGCGGAACTAGACAAAATATTTACAGAACAGTGTTGCGTGATGTTTTTTAAGCATGCAATTACACATGCACACAAAGTACAAGCATACAAACTTCTCATGCAATTTCTCACATTATCCAGACTATTTTGATAGAAAAAAAATGTATTATGAAAGGGGGGGGGGGCAAGTAAAACAACACAAAGCACAACAGTAAAAATAAACCTTCTGGGAGAAAATAACATCACTAACACCGGGAAATAGTGTTCCCTGATTAGTAGGGAGGAAATTACTTCACTAACACCAGGAAATAGTGTTTCCTGAATAGTAGGGAGGAAATTACTTCACTAACACCAGGAAATAGTGTTTCCTGAATAGTAGGGAGGAAGTAACATAGTAACATTACTAACACCAGGAAATAGTGTTCATTGAATAGTATGGAGGAAATAACATCACTAACACCAGGAAATAGTGTTTCCTGAATAGTAGGGAGGAAGTAACATCAATAGGAAATAGTGTTCTCTGAATAGTATGGAGGATATAACATCACTAACACCAGGAAATAGTGTTTCCTGAATAGTAGGGAGGAAGTAACATCAATAGGAAATAGTGTTCTCTGAATAGTAGGGAGGAAATTACATTGTTTAGGGATAATGTTCCTTGACAAACAGGGTGAAAATTACATCCCTATGGTCTTGAGATAATGCTCTCTTCAAAACAGGGAGCAAAAGACATCACTAGGGTCCATGGATAATGTTCCTTCAATAACAGCGAGGAAATGACATTGTATTCTGGGGATAAGGTTCCTTTAATGAATAAGAAAACTATGTGAATTGATAAAGAACAGAACCTGTAGCCCTTCTGGCCACTTCTGTGAACATTAAACCTTAATCCTTTGAGTGCTGCAGAGAAAATATCCAGGAAAGCCTTTCGTCTTTAATGTGCCCAAATGACTAACGTTTCTGTTCTGATGTATTGTTTAAGAGAATAGTTTACAGTGAATGGGTGTCACCTTTCACAATAACTCTGTGTGTTCGTGTCATGCACAATGTATTGCCACAATGTCCCCTTAAGTACAGTGCCCAAAAACTGTATCAAATAGCCCTGTGAGTTCACAATCTATAACGCACCTGAATCCCATGTCGCCTTGGCTTCAGTTACATGTCATTCAAAGTGTCCTTTAGTTATGTGGGGACAACAGCAGTATGAGGTTGTCAGGCCATTATAGCTTTGGCTGGGATCAAACAGTCAAGTATGCTGCCGAAGACCAGATTACAGCGGGTTGGGAGGTCACTGACAAGAGGCAGAGCGGCAGACATGTCTGTGTAAAGGAGGGACAAAGATAACCACAACTGGTAACCAGGTCATTTACAACACCCCTTAGAGCACTCTCCGTGCTCCCTTTCCCTGCCCCCCTTTCCCCCCTTCCCCCAGTCTCTCTATCTCATCAACATGTGTTTTATGAAGCATTGCAGTTACCATGACGACCAAGGCCAACCTAAGGAGATTCTGGGTTTTTTTTCTTCCTATGGTGACCGACACAATAGGCAGGTCTGGGAGATGGCGTAGGCACACACACACACACACAATATGTCAGAGAGTGGGAGGATTTGATCATAAGAAATACAGATCCTACGAGCCTATGACGCATGTTCAGACCTTGTGGGGCAAGCGTGGTTAGCGACTGGGATGAAAGGATGACAACTAGCATCTATAGATAGTTCACAGGT